GATCCATATCGAAAACAGTGAACTGTTCGAGGCTGTCAAAGTCTTCAAACTTGACAGCCAGAACCCACTTGGACGTTGGGGACAGTGACGACCTTCCCGTCGGCCAGTCGCACTGACACCGTCCCGTTGCCCTTGCTTTCTCTGCAAAGCTTCGGACAACTTGTTGCTGTTACGAGCAACCGTCTGGCGGCGTGCGAAATTCTTCGACGCCCCAGATTCAATCAAGATTCTAAAGGGGTGATCGTACCCCCGTACACATCCGTGTACTACGAGCAACCCGCCGCTGCTCTTCGCCGATTCGAGAGTGCGAAGACTCTCAGGGGCTAAGTCCCCGTGGTACGCGCCACCCGCGCACCCATCACGAAGACTTAGTTCTTCCCCAGTAGGGCGCCCCGCCCCTACTGGTTCCCTGCGTTCCCCTGTCCCCGGGATCCTGGCTTCTGCCAGCGACCCTTGAGGACGGGCTTGGGGAAGGACCGTCTGCGGAGTCTTTCCGCGGGACAGTCGCGCTTGAAGTGGCCCATCTTCCCACAGCCGAAGCAGCGGATGTCACGCTGTTCGGCGGACCCGAGTTCCATGGGAACTGGTCCGTTGGGGCTTGTTCGACCGGGAGCCGACAAGGAACTCCCAGGCCACGCTGAGGCCGGCGTACGCGCCTGGCGATGGCTGTATTCTTCTTGAAGAGCCACTTGAATCGCCTCTTCAAGGGTGCTTGCCTGCACCCGGAACAGCTGAGTGCGTGCGGGGCCCACTCGAAGGCCGTCCATGAACACAGTCATCTTGATGTGTTCATTGAGTGGGTTTCCCACTAGGGACGCCGTGAGCTCCCGTATCTCTTGCACATACTCGTGCAGTTCGCGTCTTCCTTGTTTACACGCGAGGAAGCGCGAACGCTGGCGGTACTCGTAGTTCGCCGGGAGGAACGCGGCTCGGAGCTGTTCGCACAGCTGAGCCCAGGATGTGAAACATCCAGGGGATGTCGCTTCCCGAGTGTACACCCAACTCTTAGCACGACCGCTAAGGTTGGAGAGTGCAAAAGCAACACGCAGTTGCTCGGTCGAGATCAGAGCCGCGTCCATCGCGAGCTCTACTTCTCGGACCCAGAAGTGAAGGTTCTCGCCTTCCTTCCCTTCATACGGCTTAGCCTTCAGCCGTATTGGCTTCGGGTGAGGCGGGTTTGCTTCCGCCGCCGGAGCCTGCAGGTTCTCCCGCACATGCGCGATGAGGCCCTGCTCGTACGCGTCGAATGCATTGACGCGCTCGAGCTGCTCAGCCGGTGTTGATACCACCAGGCTCTGCAGGGCCTCCATCCCGAAGATGCCTGCCATCTTCCGAACCGACTCGAACTGAGAGTCGTTCATATGGGAGAAGTCGTTCCTATCCATGGCAACGAACTTCGGAGGTTCAGGTAGTCTACCCGCGATGGCGTGGATTGACTACAAGTGCTACCAAGTGTGACGGGGTCACATAGCACCTTGCGCTAGAGGAAGTTATCTTCCGAGAGTATACAAACTCTCAGTGAACGGCAGTTCACAGGTCCCCTCTTTAATTAAAGAGAGCGAAGTGACCTAAATAAGGTAGATTGTAAACTGAGTATATTTATAGGTAGGTTAAGTTTGAGGTTAATACAAACTATCAGTTACCTATAGAAATGCAATGTCATTTAACCAATGGTTGGTTTTGAATGACCTTGGTACCTTGTACCAAATATCCCGGAGTATGACATGTCATACTCCTGAAGTGTGAAGTGTCACACTTCATGTAACCAGGGTACACTTAGTGCTACGTACCCCGTTACAGTATGTGTAAGCATCCATAGCTGGTTCAAGTCATTTGCACGCTTTTCTCTCATGGGTCGATTTGGTACCAAGCGTTGCAAGTAATGATGGTTAGCAATGCCTAAGGCTGCTGGTGCGTTGGTGGGTTTGCTAGCCTGATAGCACAAAAGCCGAAGTCAGGACGAAGCTCATAAATGCTTAAGTGCACCTTGATCAAACGATCGACTACTTTCACCGCAGCAACAGTGAACGCGGTAAGTGTTTCTGAGAGCAGAACGAAAAACTAGAAAAGCGCCAGTATTGAGCTGGATACATTGATCTCAGTGGCGAACACTTGATGATTGCGAATAAGCACAAAACATGCAAATAGATGTTGTGCCGAGCCAACACACGTGCGAGCGACAGTAACCGTTTCATGGAAATTGCTGGAGTAATAAATATTTTTTTACCAATCATTAAACAAGTCGGGTAGTACAGTAGGGCTATGAAACGGGGCTTACTGTCCCTTTTGAATTTTCTTAACATAACATTTGCGTTTTAATTGTAATATTTAAGTCGTAGCGATAGTACCGTGGACAAATCAATAGGGGCATTTTGCCCCTTCGCTCGCGAAAGGGTTAAAGTTGGTCATCTGTCACTGACTTATTATAACTTGGCATTTTACTTACCTTTTTTTTTGGCAAAATGTATGAGGTCATTTAAAAAAGATGGTACAATTGACCCAATGAGTGTCCGTCACAAATGGTTGCAAACTCTTGTTGCATTATGCTGTGCTTGTGCTCACGCTATCGACAGCTTAAATAGTCTGGTAGCTTCTATCTACTACTTGTACTACCTGCTTTCACCCCGAGAAACAAACGAAGCGGATGTTCGGGTGTTGTCTACTCGAACTCGTAGTCGCTGCGGCCTTGGTCAACTAATGGTGGCAGGTAATCCAGGCATCGTCACTTTGGCCACCTGTTTTGAAGTTTGCCTCTTACTCCTCTGTCCTGTATAGGTGTTTCTTGGTGTCGTCCGCTGATCGTCATGGCAGCGGGTCTTCCAGCAGAATCTCAGCCCGCGTGAAAATCTCCAAAAATCTCTGGTAGCACTCTTCTTCTAATATTCGCGATGAACGTTTGCCATCAAAACGCAGTAATACGAACAGTAGAAACCCGTGCCTATCGTCAAAAGAGAGTTCAATCTCAGGCAGGACGCCTCCCCAGAGCGCTGCATCTGTTTCCTGCCATTTCAACAGTCGGAATCGACTGGCCTTCTTGGCTCCACCTGTGGCCACCTTCCGGAGAGCTACACTGCTGTACACGCCTCGAGGTTTTAGATACGCGTCGAGTTTAGCGGGCGAAATTCTTCTATTGACTTCGTAAGATGCTTCACACCAACCAAGTGAGCACCGTATGATCCAATCGGATACCAACTTCAACGCCGCAACAAACGCCGCAAAGATCAACAGATTGATGACAAACCAGAGAAGCGGGTGGTGGAGGACTGGGTTGATGAGGGATTTCATCGCCCACACTGGGATGTGACCGTTCCATGTACCTCCAGTAAGTCGATCGATCACGTCGAACAGGAAAATACCGCCAACAAAGTACTGTAGGGCCTGAAGTGTTACGGACATTCTGGTTTGGTGTGCCGTCGCCGTCATCAGTGCGCGCGTATTCAAGTTTACACGTGAGCACGCCACCTCAAGCTGGTTTGTTGCAGTCGACTCAGCGATCATCTGGAGTTGCTCCAGTTGCAGCATTGTGTTCTCCATCAGCTTAATCGAGTCATGGCACCGCATGATCGTCTGCGCCTTGAGCTGCGGCAATGCTAAGACCTGGAACAGCTTTGCGTCCACATCCGATTCCGGTGAACCGAGAAATGTTCGCCTTCTGACGCCATCAATAGTTTCATCTCCACTGTCTTCAAGGTCATCGGAGCAATGAGAAGGTGAGAGATCGACGTTCTCGAGCGAGTCTAAGAGGTACTCGAGCGTCTCAGCTAGTAGAATCGTGTCTTTCGAGACGGCCGAGAGCTTCTCACGGACTAGCAAGACAGTTGCCGGTTCGCGATGCACTCGGTGAATCAGCTGCCGGATTTCCTTCAGTGTTGCGTCTAGTACGAAAGTTCTCGCAAAGAAATTCTTGATGAAAATATCACGACATACTAGACCGACGTAGGACGTGAAGACGTGTTCGTATCGAAACACATTGGGACCGGAGAACAAACAGCCAGCTTTCCCCACTACTAGCACGTCGTCCGGAGTTAAGTCGTGGCTGGCGTGAATATCTCCGAGTACTTGGGCGAGTTCGTTAGCGTAGCGAGGATCACAAACATAGGCCTGTGCCGGTAACTTGGGCTGGATCTGTTTGCTAAGTATACAGTTGTACTTATTGCGTTGGAAAGAGTCTCCGAGATAGAGCATTTCTAGTAGACTCAATTGATAGCGAGAGAGAAGGTCATTCACCAGCATGGACGAGTCCTGATGTACGTCCACTAGAAGGCGCGAGAGGTGGTCAATAGCCACGTCGTCGCCCAATCGATCCATGATGGCCTCCACTTTGATGCCGTAAATGAGCGAGCCATCGCTATTCAGGTGCATGCCAAAATTCTCAATCTGTACGATCCCCGGGGTCTCTGGGAAATGGCTCTCCGCTTCAAAGTTGGTGAAGCGCACAAAGTCATAGTCCAGAACCCGGACCTGTGTCTGTCCTACAGGGACGCGAAACTGCGTGTCAGTGGGATTACTGTCCACGCAACTCGTGAGAATCCCACCCTGACATCGATCCAACACTCCCATACGCTCATTCAACGCTACAATTTGGTTCGTGCCGAAGGGAACCCACTCACCGATGAGTGCGTAAACGTCTCCTAACGTCAGAGCTTCGGACGTTGTTTTGGTGATACTAGTGGCCCCCAAGGCGCACTCTCGAGCTCTATCCGCGTTACTTCGCTCCTGAACCTTATAGTACCCACCAGACCGCGATCGAAGACAACGTGGTAAGAACGGACTTGATACATACGATACGTCGTCGCTCTCTGTGATACTACTGCGCTTGCTGAAGCCTCCTGACCGTAGAACAAAATGTTGCCCGTCGTATCGAGCAACAAGCAGTCGTCGCTCCAGTGGTGCTGGGGGATACAGGAAGGCATCCACAGTGTCCTGGAAATATCGAGGTAGCAGACGCAGTGCTAATTGCCCCTTTATCGAAACCTGGTACGCTGTAATGGGCTGGAAATCGTCACTAGAGAGTTTGAGTCCGTTGATAAGGCGCAGCGCCCAGAGATCATCAATTGCCGCTTTGCCTTCTCGTGAAAAGTTAATCCAGCGTCGCAGCGTCTTGCCCTTGAAGGATAGGCGCATTGAAGCTGGGGCGTAGTCAAAATCGAAGGCGTCACAGAGGATGCCCTCAAACATCAGCACCAGCAGAGGTACGTGTCGAATCCAGCGTTCATTCTGGCGAGTAGAGTTGGACGCCACGGCGTACAGACTGATGAGGTACAGTAGCTTGAACTGGTTGGCACTCATAATTGTTGCCGCCGCGGTGGCCTCGGCCATCGCCTCACTGGAAGTTCCCGGAGGCGGCGACGGGGTCGAATGCCGCGGCGCCGGAGATGGTGTGGCCCGGTGCATGTGCATCGCTGCACTCGGGCCCCGATCGGTTGGCGATGAACCCTCTCCTCCCTGTCCTGCGTAGCGTTTCTGATGTCGATTCCTGGTACTGCAGCTTGTGGTAGTCTGGCGTGAAGATGAAGACGGCAGATGCCGTGGCTCATTGGCGTCACCGTCGCGGTGGCAGCTTAAAACACACACAGGTCTCCGTTAGAGCGGGTCTCCGAGATGAGCCCTTGAGCCGCTTTTGCCTGCCACCTCCAATTGCCGTGAAACCTCCAGCGACGGTTCCGTGCCATCGCAATGCCCGTCCCGAAGTCGCGCCAAATCGGGAAGCGGCCGCATCCGTTGCCATTTTTGACGTGATATCTGTCACTTGACCACACAAGAAAAGACAACAATTTGTTGGAAATTGGATAGATATCATTTTCTCATTGTCACTCGACCTTTATACACACTCTAAACTACGTACTCTACTGTCACGATGCTCTAAGTATTGTGCCACGCTCGATACGGGCTGAAGCCGACAGCAGCACTTGCCTACCGGGTTCTTTCTGAGCGTAGGAGATGCCGCCTCCCCCTCATATTTAACTAAGAGAGACGACGTTTATCTCAGCTCAGCTCTTTTTACTCCAGAACGGCAGAGCACAGGAAGTCGATCTCGTCCGAAGACAAGTAGCTTTGGTGGCAGCTCGCGGGCAGAGGCATGTCCGAGTAGTCGCTGAGGTAGGAAGCGGCAGCAGCCGGGAGGTCCGTCCACACGCTCTCGTTCAGACCGCAGTCAAGCGAGTCAGGCGTGTACATGTTGACGTCGTCCGAGGCGACGGAGGAGAAGGACATGTCAGAGGACGTTGAGTACGTGGAACCGGCAGGAGACACGGCCGACTCGGACATTGGAGTGAGACCCGCAAGAGCAGCCATGTCCAGCATCGAGATGGAAGTCGGGGACGAGAGGCCATTGGCCTTCTTGGAGCGCGCGACCTGGCGTTTCTGGCGGTCGAACTTGCGCTGAATCTTGTTGGCCTTGTCGCGGTGGTACAGACACAGTTGGTGCGGCTGGCCGTTGCGCTTGCTGGAGCGCACGTTGGTGCATTTGCCGGTCTTGTACCTGCACTTGTTGATGCCCATGGCGGGTTCATTGCTGAGACCCACGAAGGACTGGGCCGACTGCGTTTTGATCGAGATGGCAACCATTGTTAAGAGTTCGAAGCTCACTTGTGCTCGAGGTGTTGAATTTAGTAATGACCGAGCATTCGGAACTTGGTGGCCGCGACGGTCTCTTCCCGTCGCCGCCGTGCAGGTCTGACTGACTGGCCTCTTGGCAGGTGAGGAGCATTGCAGAAGGGGATTCATCGGCTCGTCGCTAGCGCTCGTTCCTCCTGGCTTTGCAATTGCTGTATGCCAGCAGGTATTTGCGTGGACGAGCCAAGTGGGAGGACAGTGCAACAAGCTCCACTTGCAGTCCATTACAGGCTGTATAATTTACAGCAGGTCGGGCCAAAATCACTTTTTAAACGCGCTGCAGAGTTACGGGTTATAATTTATGTTTTATTATTTCATGTTGTTAATCCAGCAAAAATACAGCCGCATGGAACTATTAATACACTTGAACATCCGCTTAGTGCTGATGAACAGGTGGCTCACCCGCATTGACGTCAAACATTGCAAAGCGAAGGTATTTCGTGGCGCGTGGTTGTCAAAACTCGCCATGTGAAACGCGCATGGCACAAGTGCGGCTGGCGGAAGACAAGATGAGGCAAGATCCAACGGTGTGGCATAAGGCTCACTCGACAGAGGTCTCTGCGTCGTGCGTGCTCAAAGGCGAACGTCGACGACTCACATTGACTTTACGATTGCAAATAGTTGAGGATCCATTTGGCAGGGCTATTGAATTATATGCTAAAATGTGATACTAAAAAAAAGATGTTGGTAGTGATAAAACGTTTCTATTATATCTGACAGGGAGGTTGTGCTGTGAAGCCCACGCTGTCACCACAGTGGACTGGAGCTGCCGGGCGTCACTGACGCCGGCAGCGCGATCAAGCTAATGTCTCGGTCGCTGTAATAGTTCGGTGCGTCGACCACACCCGCACACGACGATCGGGCGAGAGCTTTTTGCTGGCTGAAGTGTGTTGTTCTTCGGTAGGTGACGGCCGTTGTCCATGATGTAATGAATTCTGCTGTAAAGTTAACGAGGCTCTATTTTAATCAATACAGAACCCTTGCCGAAGTGATCGATAGATGGGTACGCCGGCGCACGGATAGGCCTGCATCACTTGCTGCTGTAGCGGAGCTCCTGCAAGATGTGGATACATGTACTCCGGCGACAGCCAATGATGGCTACAGTATCCGTGCCAGTCTTCGGAATTGTATCATGCGACACGAGGGGAGATCCGGTCGGGAGGTTGCAAGTCTGCGGGTTGCCCCAAGTGTGACGAGACGGGTTGCTGTGCATTTCTTGGCCGACGACGGCAGTCTCTGCACCAGTGGCTACGAATTCCCACCGAATTTCGGGCTCGCCCGATGTGTCCAGCTTGGTGCTCTCATTGAGAGATTTCGAGTCGGTGCATGTACAGAGAGCCTCTCAAACCTTTGACTTGGCAAAGCATACAGACTCGGAATGAAAGATGATGACGACACCGGCGCGGGTCACCACTGCAACTGCGGAGATTCTCCTCCGAGCACGTTCTGACAAAGCGGATGCTTTTGCAGCGGTGAGACGCACCAAGATGAACTCGCTGCTCATCTTGAAGTTTCCGGATCTTGCCCGACTTATCAAAAGGCGCCGTGTGCATGTGTACGGTGGCAACCTCCAGCTTTCTCTTTGATACCTTCAGTCCGATGTTGCAAAGCAGACTTAGGTCTTTCGTACGGATGCAGACTTTCACCGAAGCGAACATCGTGGTTAACAAGAAGGTCGCGACTGCACCAACGTAGCGTTAGCCAACGGAGAAAGAGGTCGTGGAGGTGTTACATGTATTACCTCGACGCACTTAGTTGAATGTTGCGGCTCTATCAGTTCAGCGGATGTCGCGGCAGTGGAATCCTCGTGATCTCGCATCTCGATGGGATGGATACCTACCGGCACTTGCCCCAAGCCGGAGCGAAGGCGGGCTTCATCAATTTTGATGGGAAGGTACTGTAGCCATTGCACTGCAGCATTTTGCAGCCTGCAAACCGGAGCTCTCGCGGTAGTCTGCCTATTCGTTCACTAGCGAGAGGATACCCGCGATTTGAATTGGACCTCCGCATACAGAAAACAGTCCTCCTCCAGTCAAGCAGTGGGACCTTCTGTGTACCTTGCTTTGACAAAAGTGGCTACACCTGCGGTGGAGGCATGCCCAGGATAGCTTACCGGTAAGTCATAATCAAGGTACCATTACTCTGGAACGGCAACGTAAGGCCCTGTGGAAACGCGACAATATATATATGTCTTCTCCTTTTAATAATGGTCTGCTTCCCGAGTGGCTTCAGGATACGGAAGGGATCCTTTAAAAAAAGTCAGCCTCGGGAGATTTGATCTGCACCACCCACCGCGACGTGGTCCGAATCGCCATTTCACTGCTCGTTGGGCAAGTTGCTCCGGCTTCTTTCGGCGCGGACTCAACTTGAGCTCCCATCTTGTCGAGATTCTTTTCTTTGCCAGAGAATCTACGGCTTCGAGGTCCCAGGATGGGGATCACCTGACCGCGTGCTCTTTTCGAATGGAAGCCGAACTCCTGTGCTCCGAATTCGGCTGTGATTCAGTTGCGCCGGCCATGAATATCGCGACTGGAATGCTACGCGGCCGTGTTGAAGTGCTGACTCCTATCTCGAGATAGCGGGCGCGTGTCCTGCAGTTCCCAGTGTCCATTCCTGCCTCCGTATCTCCTTGAAAAGGACCTCAAAGCTCGAGGTCCTTTTCGAGTCGAACAAGGAGGCACAGTATATTCATGCATGCAGGAGTCTGCTTGCACTTCAATACTGTACCCTCCAAATGCAGCGGGGTGCAGACGTGCTGTCGTTTGACAGTGCTACCGTGGCAGAACGCAAGAGGCCAGCAAGAAGAAGATGTAACGTATACAACGTAGTACATGTACACGTACAAGAACAATAAGTAAAAGAGAGAGGATCAAGGAGCAGCGAGAGACTTGGAGGAGGATAGTGGCATGATACGTGACGTAAGGCCCTTAAGCGACGAGCATAAATTATTGATCAGCACCGGCACAGGCCGTTCTGGATTGCGGCGACGACGGCGTCACGCTAGGTGCTCGTCGCGGGAACGTATGAGTGTTCCAGATGCGTTTTGGAGCATCTCGCTTCTGTCGTCGGCGCTCTGCGATGCAGAGGCGTACGGCTTGCCCCCAGAGTAGTACTCGTGTCGAGATGGTGTTCACCACTTCGGGTCTTGTAGTTCGACGCCCGAGATGGTGCTTGACAAAGGAGAAGCGCCGCATCACGACATTTTCCGCGCCGCCGGGCCCGACGTGGCGCCGTAGCGTGATACCTACTGAGATGTCCTTCCTCACTCTGCTCCCGTGATAAGGATGCAACTCGTCCACGTCCACGAAATCGCTCATCATGACTGTCAAATCGCCTTGCTCGCCTGGTTGTTTGCCGTCGGAGCCGTCCAGCTCGCTGGCGGGGAACCGTTTCAAGTAAAAGACAGCGTTGGACTCCTGTACCAGGAAGCTGCGGCCGACACAGGACCGCTCCGGTAAGTCCACGCGCTCCACTGTTCGCGCGTGTAGGAAAGTATCTACCACGGCGTCGTAGTAAGTGCGGTTGGTGACGCAGCCCAACAAACGTGAGACGCCGTCGCGCGGCACAACAAACTGGTCCTGGATTACCTCAGCTACCTCGTCCACGGTCATGCTGTTGACCAGCGAGACGCTAAAGTCGACGGTGTAGAACTTGCCGAAGCGTTCGAAAGTGTCCACGTAGAAGAACTCGCGCGTCGGGTCGATCGCACGAGTTTGCGCCGCGACGAACCGCCGAACGGTGTCCAACTTCTCGTCCCGCATCCCCAACAGCTTACGGCGACGCTCAGCCGGGTCCTTGCCGAGTCGAATAAACGACTCCATCGGCGTCATCAGCGTCATCCGCTACACCCAAAGCCACAATGTAAATTAATGAACTTGTCATGGTTACAAAAAGTCAACTAATGGAGCAGGTGCTTACGTAGTGCATCAAGGGCGAGGCTTGGCGCATCAGTCGGTGCAGGTCTCTCATGCTCTGTCTGTGCAGGTCCATGACGTCGACCAGCATCGCTTGCTCTCTGGTTGCCTTTTTCTCCTCCTCCTCTTCACCCTCGCTCTCACTGTTCTTGTATTGCAAACCCCTCGCAGTGGCATCCGCCTTAAATTGTAGGAAATCTCTTTGTGCTTCTAGAAACTTAACTTCTCGCGCAACCAGCTCCGTTTCCTGCTCCTCCAGCGTCAAGACTGACGAATGGTCCACCGAAACTGCCAGCGCTTCTTTCTCCTCACCAAATTCAATTGCAGTAAAGCTATTCTCCTCGTTCATAGCGTCAGGTAGCAGCGAATTCAGCTCCTCGTCGCCGAGGTCGCTCGAAGGCAGCAACAACTCCAAATCCGGTAAATCCAACACCTCATCGTCCAGCAGCGCGTCCTCAGTACAGTCAAGGTCGTCCAAGAGTTCATTAAGCTCTGCGTTTATCGCTAACGCGTCGGGCTCGAGCTTCTGCTCCTCCATCGAACGTCTCAACTTGAGGTCCGGAGCGTCGGAATTCGCCCATCACCATTTTTCTGTTTAACAGTTTCAGTTTAGCAACATAGTCAATTTCAGCTGCCGGTTGAGCAACATAAGTCTTTTGGTTCACCATTGGGTTTAGGAATAAATTACCGGTAAGTTTTCGAAAGTTTTACAGTTTTATGCTCTTTTCCTCCGTACTTCTTCCAAAAGCAAAAACAAAACCAAGAACAAAGGATCAGCATGTGTAGGTGCGCGAGCTGCTGCGTCTAGAGCCCTCGAGAATCGGCAGGGCTTTCTCGCAGCTATCCTGAACGCCACAGGCATCAGCAAGCTTCACGGAGTGGCGGATCGGTTTCCTTATTGTGCCAACTCGGAACACACATCAATTGTTTTGATCAAGCGAGCATTTTTGATGAGAAACAAACCCGAAAGGGTGCCCAGAATAATGTTTGTTCATTAAGCGCTTTAAAAAGCATCCTTCGTACTCAGACAACTCGGTACGGTCGGGCACAGCTGAATGCGTGCACACGCTACCAGAGATGAATATCGCGCGGGGCAAACCGCTTTTGGTGGTGGAGGGACTTGTTGCGGGATGGCAGGCGGCGTGTGTCCTGCACAAGCAGAAACGGTGGTGGCTGGAGGGTGTGTGGGGACAGCGCGGCCAGAGAGGTACGAAGTCACTGATCGTCGTTTTATGTTTCTGTACCAAAACTTATTTCTATTCTAGCGAAAGCGCACGATTTTTGCTAGCAGGGCGTCCTGCACCTTGCTACTCGCTCACTTTCCGGCGAGCTTTGCTGCGGCCGCAATACACCAGTCGTGCACGCCCAAGGAGGTCAAGCTGGTCTCGGATTGAGAGCCCATAGATCAGGTGAATGCAGTAGCCGGTCTTACCAAATATACGACAGCCGCACGTATGGACTTCAACGTCAGCTCGCCACCCAGTCCCTGGCATTCCTAAAGTTTTATTCTTGCCTACTACGAGGCAGGACTCGCAGTTACAGGAAGGTCCTCCTTAGTACGCCGATTATGTGGGTCGAACACGCGCTCGAGCTGGTCGGAGACCACGTGCACAATTACTTAATCGGTTGACTGTGGTTCAACACCTGTCAAGAGCTGGATGGACTGTTTTACTAGCTGGACTCCTCGAATCGATTTTGCTTTGGTCATCTCGCGAACGCGCTGTAAAATTTCATGACGTGGTTGAGTTTTGGATGTGAGCGGGCGGCTCCGAACGCCTTCCGTTCGCACGCCCAGTATTAGCTGTTTAATGAGCGTGCCCATCTTACGTCGGGCTCGAAGCGTGTAGTCGCGCTTGATCGCGCGGTTGAATTGCTCGACGGGGTTATTCGTCACTGCGAATCCAAGCGGTGTGTGAAAGGCTTGCCAGCGATGATATGGGGAGTTCAGTCAGATGAATGTGAAGTAGTCTGCGAAAGCAGAGAGCTGTGGAAGCTGGTCAAAGAAGCTATCCGGATCGCTGTCATTCTCAATTGCCGAAGCACCGTCACCAGACGATGAGCTCTCATGACTAGTGTTCTCATATATGCTATCAACAACAGTCCTCTGCCTGTTCATTTTTTCTTAGCAGTTGACGGTAAATAGCTCGCTAAGTTTTCAATAAGTGATTGAAATAGAGATTGAGCCCTTGCAAATTATCAGCATCCGATAAGACTATCATATCGGCTTGTTCCTCTCTCAGTAGACGCAAGTATTCCATAGCGTTTTTACTTATAGGTCCAAACTGGTAGTTAAGGGTGCAGCAGCAGGTTGAGGCTCCATAACACAGAATTGTCAGGCTTTCACCAGATTAATAACTAGTCGAAGCGACTTTAAGCCACTTCCCAAAACGTCGTATATTTCCTCATATTTGGCCATACTCCAGCCTTGCAACTACACCAGCTGGAATCCGCTTAAGATTCGTGCGTTTTGCGAGCAGCCATCTTATATGCTGGCACGGAGGTGACGAGTCTTGTGAAACAGACAGCTGCATGGTCACGTAGATTTGAGGACACTAAATATCCTCAAGTCTTGTCTCGTGTCCAGATAGTGCACTTTCCATTCTGATTGCGTTGGGCCCACGAGCACACATTTCGCCTCCTTTTTATTCATCATGAGCAACCTCATATCGCTACGCTATTTCCCATTGTCTTAAAAACTACAATATCTTAAGATGGGGTTGTCGGTAGATGTCAAGATATGTACCCACCTTTACTAAATTTCTCAAATCTGTCTCTGGAGCTCGGCCAGACCTTTATCACACCATTTCTAAGCCACAATTGGGTATAATAGAGTAAAATGATTTGCAAAAGCTGATGTAATATGGTAGGGGTCCACATGGACCTCGACCTCATAATTTCCCAACAAATGTTTGCAGATTATGAGCGAAACATATGACGATTTGTATTGATTTCTGCTAGAGATCTTGTTGGACCCGTAGCAAAGGCTCAGTAGCTAAAGGATTAAAGGTGCTATTTCATAGATAAAGGTGCACCACTGAAGATTAGGGGCCAAAATAACGAAAACTTACCAAGATAAAACCCTAAGTCGCTCTTTTCAAGAATCCAATTTATGCAAGGTGTTTCACCCCAGTGCACAAAATGTAACTTCTGTATGGCTGTCTATACTGTACCACGGCTTTTCTCATGACGTCATTTTGATCTCGAAGTACAAGCGCCCTGTGATCACCAACACCTCTCAGTATGACTAGCATGCTCGACAGTATTTTACCCGCATACGTGCTCTTCAGAACCTTTCGGGCTTTGTTGCGTGTTTGCTGGGGCGCCACGTGTTGCTCCAGCGCACCTGACGAAATCCTTGACTGTGATCGGAGCTGGTGTTAGCGTCAGGAACTCCAACTTGATCGCACACCAGGCTATGTACTAGTATTGATCCCGTCCCGAAGTAGTTGGCGTAGATGGATGCATTTGCGTGGTGATTGTGCGTCCAGGTCCATTGCTAGCTACACGGCATTCTCCAGCTTCTGCAAAAGCCAAATATTAATCCATTTCAAAGAACAATTTGCCAGCCTTCTGCTTGTCCCTCCTCTGCGATACTCTTCCCTGTAGTCGTGAACCGAGCCTTGCCTACAGTGTAGCGATTTGGAGGACTGTGCTGGCTTTTACCGTGAGACTTCGGCGAGCAACCCAGGGTGCATCGAAATAACATGTAGCTGTAATCCATCCTTGCAGGGATTTGTAAACCACTCATGCTAAAAAAACGTTCAGCACATACATTAGTTTATTTTCATTGTAAGACTTACGCGCTGTTTGCTTTCACGGTCCGAGTGTCTCGGGCTTTAAATGACAGTAGATTATCGCAGCAGTACTTCCTAAACTCACCTTTACGCTTATGGCGAAAATACAATGCATCTGCATCGGTAGGATTTTATTAGCCGCACTCACGCGAGACCGTTCCATAGCTGCCCACTCAGGCCACGATTTCGTGCGTCTAACGCGTGGAGTACGATCAATGGTTGTGTCTTGGGCGTTCTGTTCAGCGTATTCGACTCTCGCATCACCACCTTCTTTGTCTGTTGACGGCAGAGACACAATCTCTGCCACACTTTCGTCACCAGGGCCCTTACTATTCCCGTCGTCAACGCTTCTCTGATCATTTCACGCGCCGTGGCTCCTTTTCTCCCTTTTGGCGCTTGGCTTAAAGTCTTATACTGCGTGTTGAGATCTGCGTTAAATTTATCATTAGCGTTTAGTTCGTAGCAGAGGTCGTAAAAGTAATTTTCCGGTTAGCCGTACCCGTCCGAAAGCACTGGTCATCGAGTTTCGGCCAACCGTACGGACCGTTCGGCCAACCATGGCTGGCCGAGAA